ACTCAAAGTTATCTAGCTGGGGAACTGTGGTTAGTGGAGTGCCCTAGGGTACAGTTTTGGGGCCCTTGTTATTCCTCTTGTATGCAGATGACCTTCCTCGTCTACCGTCATCATCAGTCTTGCTAAGTGCTGATCATGTCAAGATATGGAGAGCGATATGAAGTAAGGATGATAGATTAGAACTCCGAAATGACCTGGAGAAATTATCTGAATGATCTCAAACCTGGTAGTTGCCGATAAATACTCCCAAGTGCATTGTGATGCATATCGGTCACCAAGGTACAGATACATACACGATGAATAACACTGAACTACCGGTTGTCCAGACACACAATGACTTAGGAGTCATCGTTAGCCAAGACTTAAAGACTACTGCACATTGCCGTGCAATAGCCGCCAAAGGTTTCAGAACTTTACAGCCAATACATAGGGCTTTTAGTCATGTCGACGCTAAAACTCTTCTGACATTGTACGATGCTCGACTGGTCAAGCTAAACCTATTCCCGTTTTCATGTCGAAGAACGAGAGGCGTCTTGATTACAGTTTTCAAGTTGCTGAGTGATAAATTTTCACCCTCATTTTCCTTGTGTCCCAAAACAGAGAATTTACTAGGACATTCCAAAAAAGTTCACAAGCCAAGAACAAATTACTTGTCAGCTGACTAACTACTTATCCATCGAATCACCAACGAGTGGAATTCATTACCTCGGCACGTGGTTAAGGCTCCATCCATCGACTCTTTCAAAAGAAAGTTGAATTAACTGAGAGACCGTCATTACGAGGACTACCACAGGTGATCGAGCCTCCTGTCCTCTCCAAACTGAAACTGAAACTGCTCTGTCCTATCGCAGATCAAGAGTTTATCTAATTTTGATGTGTAGAATACCAAGAAATGATTTGGGACCTGATATATACCCTCTTTTTCTCCCCACTAAATCGGTATATCTCAGAGAACATAGCAGGCGAGTAGAAAAGCCTAGAGCGAATAAAATACCCGTGGCATACTGGTCATCAATTCTTGGAACCTGTTGCCCAAAGCAGTGGTGTCTGCATATACAGTTGACTCATTCAGAAAAGATTGGGCACTCACAAAGGTATACTAAAAAGAATAACAAAAGCTGTAGGCCTTCTGTCTTTACTACACAAATCTGAATCTGAATCATTGGACCATAAATTGTACAATGGTATTGAATGTTGGTTGCCCTTGCTAAGTATTTATGTGCCTCCGGTTGAAAATTTCCTCCGTTACTGCCTATGTACATTTGCTAAGGTATATTTAGGTCGAAATAGTCAGTGATTCCCACCGTTAGTTACATTTAATTTTTAACCCCTCTCTGTGAAGTAATGATTTTAGTTAAATCTTGTCTAAATCCTATTATCAACTAAAACTATCTGACCAAATTGGATTTTAGTGATAAGCTTTAAGTCAACATATTTCTAGTAAAAAAACGTGAAAAAAGGCTGGACAGGGCTAGAGGACAAATGTATTTATGGGCTTTGGGAATTGTCTTGGCGTTTTAATCGTTTATACGTGTTTGTGCTTTAGTCAGTTCTTGTTCTCTCATGTTTGGATGTCTGTGGTTGGTTTTAGACATCCAGATCATTGTGACTACTTAATATGCGTTAGTCTAACTTCCCATTATTTTTACGTCATAATTTTCACTCACTGGCTGGCGATTAAAATGAAGCACTGTCATGAAAACTGCTTCATGCTATGCTACGTGGAAAACATCAATTGCCCTTGTTGACCAGGATATCTTTCATTTAATTAGCTGATAAAATTTATTAACACTCAATTACAGTAAACAGAATGTCTCTCCTTTTAATTCTGTTTTTATATGACCTGTGCCTCGACCCTCCGTAAGTCTAGAAAGTTGTACGAAGAAAACATTGTTAAGGAATCCATAGAATGTCCTAAACGCTTGTATTCTTATATAAATCAAAGGACAAAGAGAAGAGGAAATATTCCTGCTCTATGGGGAAACAGTACTGCCGCGTCACTAGTGGAGGACGACTTTGGTAAGGCTCAAGTGTTCTCAAACTACTTCAGCAATGTATACACCATAGAAGCACTCTTCCCTTCAGCGCGTACAGATCCCCCACACATACACTGGATAGCGTGACCATTGAAGAACTCGATGTCTTTGGTCTACTAAATAAGCTTAACATAGGTAAATCCACGGGGCCTGATGAATTACATCCTAGGCTGCTGAAGGAATTATCTAACTTCGTTGCGAACCCTTTAAGTACATGCTTTAACCTATCCGTAACGCAGGGTCGTTTACCCAAAGACTAGAAAAACGCCATAGTAAGTCCTGTCTTCAAAACAGCTACGAAACACAAACCTGAGAATTACCGCCCCGTTAGCCTAACTAGTGTGGTTGTTAAAATCATAGAAAAGATTGTTCGGAAGGAGCTGTTTAAGTATGTCGATAAAAACCGGATCCTTTCGGAGAAGCAGCACGGTTTCAGAATAGGTTACTTTTGTCTCACTAGCTTAGTCGTGGATCGTGAAAACTGGTGCGCTCTTAAGGACCATAAGTTACCTGTAGACGCAGCCTTCATTGATTTCAGCAAAGCTTTTGACAAGGTTCCGCACAACCGGCTGTTATATAAGTTAAGAAATGTCGGGATTGGAGGCAATCTATTTATGTGGATAAAAGACTTATTAGTTGGGCGTCAACAAAGAGTTCGGGTGAACTCAAAGTTATCTAGCTGGGGAACTGTGGTTAGTGGAGTGCCCTAGGGTACAGTTTTGGGGCCCTTGTTATTCCTCTTGTATGTAAATGACCTTCCTCGTCTACCGTTATCATCAGTCTTGCTAAGTGCTGATCATGTCAAGATATGGAGAGCGATATGAAGTAAGGATGATAGATTAGAACTCCGAAATGACCTGGAGAAATTATCTGAATGATCTCAAACCTGGTAGTTGCCGATAAATACTCCCAAGTGCATTGTGATGCATATCGGTCACCAAGGTACAGACACATACACGATGAATAACACTGAACTACCTGTCGTCCAGACACACAATGACTTAGGAGTCATCGCTAGCCAAGACTGAAAGACTACTGCACACTTCCGTGCAATAGCCGCCATAGGTTTCAGAACTTTACAGTCAATACATAGGGCTTTTAGTCATGTCGACGCTAAGACGTTTTTTGCTTTATATACCGTGTTTGTACGTTTTAAACTTGAGTACTGCATACATGAGGCTAGCCCCTGCTTAAAAGATGACAGTGAGCTTCTGTAAAATATTCAGAGAACGGCAACTAAGCTGATTCCCGGAATAGCGAAACTTCCTTATAAAGCTCGGCTGGCCAAGCTGAACTTTTTCCCGTTGTCATATCGCAGAACTAGAGGCGACTTGATTACAGTTTTCAAATTGCTTAGTGCCAAATGTACACCTGATGTGCCCTCATTTTTCTTGCATTCCAAAACAGAATTTACTAGGACACTCCAAAAAAGTTCACCAGCCAAGAACAAATTACTTGTCAGCTGACTATTGGCTTTCCCATCGAATCATCAACGAGTGGAACTCATTACCTCGGCACGTGGTTGAGGCTTCATCCGTCGATTCTTTCAAAATAAATTTGGATCAGGTCTTATGTCCTCTTTATATGTTTCACTAGATAGGTTATTCTCTTCTAAAAATTTGTAGGTTGTCTTTCTGCACTAGTTTCTTGTCATGTGGGATATCATAAGTTTATGTATTCAAATAAATATGCCGTCTTGAAGCTAACCATTCTTTACATTCATACCACATAACCTTCATCTTCTCACTGTTAATTGCCTGTCGTGGACCAGTAATTTTTTATGTTCTCTGGTCATTTATTTGGTTGAATCGTTTACTCAAGTAATGATTTAGTTGGTTCAGCTTGACGAAAGCCACTAGTCTGATCAGTGAACAGTTAATATAAAAGTCAATATTTTCTGTTTTTTCATCCTCAGTTAGATAGAATGAATGGTACGTCCTTGTCATTAGTTTTCAACCTTCAACTAAGTGTAATATGGTAATCTAATAGCATTTTGTTAATCTATTTAGCCTATATCCTTTTTGTAGGTCCAAATACACACTGAGACAAAACACATTGTGTTTTCAATTAATCCTGGCGTGAATTACTTGACACATTCACCGGATTCTTGGGTTCGAGCCACATTAAGTATAAGAGCTAATGATATTATTCGGTCGCCCAAACCGAGATAGGTAGAGCATGCTCTCAACATGGGACTTAGTGGCCCGAAGTCAAATCCCTTTAAAACTAAGCCACCACCTAAGCGTCGTAAAAGAAGCAATTATTTGAGCAAGATCGAGAGCAACGTTAGTCATTTCTACAGTCTAAGCTCCTAAGATAATAAAATGACTGCATAGTTTTAGGTATTTTTTCACGCTTGGTTTGAGACTTTAGATGAATATATGTTATAGAGCGGGGTCGAGTGGTGGTGATTATAAAATATAACCCGGTTGAAAACCTCAGTTTTTCCACATAAGTCAAAGGAAAACATGCATGGTTTGAATGTCGTTTTTCAAAATATTTATTAAAAAAACAGTTATCCGAAGAAAGAACTATGTTTCTTTCGACTACTTCTAAAATAGAAAGATATTACAGTTGGAATTTTGTTTGCTCAGAAGGATCATTAGGTATCACATCCTTTTACGATTTCTACCCGAGATACTATTGCAACGTGTGTGTTTACGTACCTGTTAGACTTACCATGATATCAATCCTGTGGTTTTTGATTATATCATTGCCAACTAGATTTTTCTTTGTTTGGCTAACCAAAAAATGCAAAAGAGGTTTTTTGTTAACCTCGGTGGCGTTACATTATTTTATATATTATACCACTTTTTTTCTCGTATTTTTATTATTCCTTATTTTTCAAGAATTCCCGTTGTGATCCAAAAACAAAATCTCATTTTGAATAAAAATGGAGCAGAATCTTTAGTGAAGAAATCATAAGCCATTGGTGGTAATGGAGTAAAGTTGTACTTCAAAATGATGCAAACTTTTATATCACAACGAACTTGCTTCGGTTGTTCAATTTTCTTATTCCTCCTGGGATCAATATTTTTATATGTACATATCTCCCGTTCTCAAAATATCCCGAACTTTTTGCGTAAACTCCCATATAATGTGACAGATTTGGGAAATTTTGTAAGTATTGGTGTTTGTAAATGTACTTTCTAACTTGACATATAAACTTCATAAAATTGTATCAATTAGGTCGGTAAGCTTTTACGCAGCAGAAGTTACCAATGTAGATTGGCTTTAATGCGTGTTGTAATAATGTTTATTTATTAATAGCATATGTTTGAGATAGTTAGGTAAACTGGCTTCATCATGTTTTCAAGTAATTACAATTATCTTTCACATAAGGTTTACTAGACTTTGAATTGTTATTTTGTTAGTGCTAACAAAGTACTCCAGTTCGAAATCCCGATACGTTCTAAGTCCTTATAGTAGGTTTTTATACTTTCTAGGTTGTTTCGGAACAACAAGAGTGCCCAAAAGAAAATCCTCACGCTAGTAAGTTTGACCCTAATTTTCCTTATATTTTATTTTACAGCAAGCTTACAAGTTTGGAATTGTTTTATTCTAATCATAGCTAAAGTTTGTTGACCTCCCTTAGAGAGCTTGAAACTTTTTATACTATGACTGCGAAAACATTAGCTCTAAAACCAGTTCATCAGTCATACAGAACGTAAAACCTGGCACATGAGTACATCGGTTCAAGTTGTCACTACATCAGCATGTCGGTGTGCTATAGTATAAATGGTAACAATATTAGAATTGATAGAAAAAGATAGGACTCAATTCTCTAACAGTTGGTTATGATAATCACGCGGACCCTGACCAAGTAGTCTGCACCTACCTGTAAGACTCAGTTCATTAGTCGATGTCTTCGTGGACCGATCCCACACTTCGATACCAGTCCTTAGCTTTCTTCCAACCTACCCCTACACCAATCATCGTCAAAATGTTGGCAGAAGGTGGCTAATCATACATAATATATGTTCCAACTGTCTCAGTCGACGAATATTTGCAAGCTAGTTAACCAACTTGCCATCCTTGCTTAGTACTTTGTGCCTAACATCACAAAGTACATGAGCAATGCTTCGAAGGGATGTAGGATTAAATACTGGTAACCTACGAATATCCTCTGTTTCAAAGGTCACATCTCACAGCTATTAAGTAGAATTGAGCGGACTGTTGCACAGTATCTTCACCCTTTGGTAGATTAACGAACATATCGTCTATGGATCAAGTGGCAATCACCAATGGAGCTCTTTGGATCCGTTCTGAGATTTCGTCAGATACCAACCCACCAAAGCTAATGAAACTCATATGATAAGTTCAGTGGTTGACGTGCTCAATTAATTCATTCCTTATCATTAGTTGAGAAGTTGAAGCGGACTAGTAATGGGGCAGCATTTAGAGGGAAAGAAACAAATCTCAAATATTAGAATCGAATTATTGGTCTTCATCGATTAATTTTATTATCTATCGAATCCCTTTCTGTCGTATCTATGTATATGCTACCTTAAACCGTTAGACTTTTTTAAGTTTCTACGTTGTCTAGCTTTTGGCCACTTGGGCGAACTAGTGGCTTCGGTACCAGATGTAATATCCTTTAAGGTAAAGAGGATATCCTATCAATTTAATGTATGCTTTAACTATCGGTTTTGATCGTCTCCCTCTATATTTTCAGTACTCAGTTGAGAGTGATTTGCGTTGTCTATCAACTTAAATATGTATCTAGTGTCTTGTATCATTATGCATCGCATACTCCCAATGTGATCTTGCTGTCCGATTTAATGATTTTCTGAGTTTCAACTGAGGCTGTGAGGTGTCCAAAAATCGTTTATATTTATCTACTATTTGCTGAATTTGATTGGTCTTATTGCTTATTTGAAATATCTAGTTGTTCTCTCCATCAGTGTCAGTATTGTTGTTCCCTGTTATTTAACAAGGAATGAGTGTTTACTTTGTCATGTTTTTGTTCTAATTTGTTTGTCACCTCAGCTTTTTGCATGATTAACAACGATCCATCCTTTTGTTATCACTAGTTGGGCGTTTAAAAATCGAGACTAATGTACCTACTTAGGATTCCTTAATGGAGAAATATACATCATCACCCCCTCAACGTAAAATTATCCTTTCAAAAGGTGGCAACTATTCACAACCCAGTTTAAACCCTGTGGTGATCCACAATGGATCTATTAGTTCCCACAATTACACCGGTTCATTGGAGAAATACGTCGGATTGTGGCGTCCAAATGTATGTGATCCAACTGAAAAGCTGGCTGTTATTGTCCCGTACCGAAATCGTGATATTCATTTGCGTATGTTTTTAGGACATATGCATGCTTTTCTGCGTAACCAACTGCTTATGTATACCATTTTCGTTATAAATCAAGTTAGTTATTATTTTTAGATATGATTTCAGTTGTCTTTTGAACCCTTTTCAGAACTTTCAACTATATTTTTCAACCACTGTTATCATGGTAATGTACTTTTGAATCATTTTGCTCATATATTGCCTCAATTTGGAACTCCACACTAAAGGTCACGGTTAGTGTGTATACTACATATTTTAAGAGCATTTACAAAGTCCATCCAATGTTATTCATTATCTTTGGGTTCATTTCCTTGTACTTGAAGCCATTTCTGTCAGGTCTAATGGTAATACTCAGTTGCCTAGACCGAAGTAGCTGGAGCAGGGATTACACTTACTACCTAGTGGTTAACACTCAAGAGTAACTACCAAGCCATGAACCTGGAAAATTTGTGCTTCTTGCTCCAAAAGTGGGTTTTGACATCGGTTGGACCATAGTTTCTGTAAATGTACATTAAAATTGATGAGAAAAGGCAAGATGATCATTCTCAACACCCATATTTAAGGTTCCGGTAACAAAGATGTTTTCGTGTTGTGTTTGGTAAATTCTCATCTTATGTTCTTTTTCTTGGGTTACGGTCCATTTTCTGTTCCCACAGGATTGTGGTTTTTTTCGTAAAGATATTATGCTCTATGGCTGTTAATAGGTATAGTAATATATTACTTTTACTAACCCCAAACTGTGTTGATAGGTTAATCCTGTTGATTGACGTCCGTGGTATTTACGAAACATGCACTAAAATAGTACATTGTTACTGAAAGCAGAGTTTTAATATATACTAGGTCATTTGTTTGACATGAATGATTATAGATTGCAACAAAATCAATTTCTTACCAACAGAGTGTTGTAGCAGTATTTGAATCAACAGCATCTTCCTTATTTAGCGTTCAAACAATAATGGAGTTTCTTTATTTATGGTTCACCTCACTCCCAATAGACGTTTTTCGGTATTCAAGCGAAGTAACAATAAAGACTACCATTTTTCACTCTAGGCTGTTTACGTATGTGTTTCTATTGTGGAGATTAATCATGAAATAACCAAGGTTGTAGTATTGCTAAAGTCTTCATTTTCTACTTATAAATACATGTTTAGGACGGTGAAACTCATTTCAATCGTGCCCTTCTTCTGAATGCTGGGTTTATCGAGTCGAAACGGGTTACAAATTTTGACTGCTTCATATTTCATGATGTGGATTTATTGCCTGAAGACGATCGAAATTCATATCGTTGTGCCAACCAACCGAGACACCTATCTGTTGCTGTGGACAAGTTTAACTACCGGTCAGTGCTTATATTTAAACTCCTAGACTTTTAAATTTTGAATTTGTTCAGTTGGTAACATTCTTCAATAAATAAGAAAGTTGATTCAATACTTTAGTCGAGGAAGTCATATCGTATGAATTAGGACAGTTTATATTTCTAACCAACTTCCAAATAAACTTGGTATTTATATAACTTTTACATCGTTAGACTTTACTCAAGGAATTATCAGCTTTCTACCTAGTTACGGTGAATTTTTGGGACCCACCTGTTTAAGACCCTAACTAGAATGCAGTTCACCAACCATCTATATTTCAGCTGTGAGCTTCATATTGTAAATGCATTCATGGATAGATTCCAATACTTCAACTCAGATTCACACTTGTAAGTTCTGTCGACCATTATTTTAGCATAAATAATAATCTAACAATAAGGACCATCCAGCATGTATAAAAGTGATAGTATGAACAAGCATAAAAGTAGTGATTCCTTAAAAATGAAGTGTAAATTAATTTAATAAGTTGAAATACGTATATTTCTAAAAAAAAACACAAGTGCCAGACGGTTTACCGCTGGACTTAAATTCCATACATAGATTTATCGATGCACCATATTACCTTGTCAATGTGGTATCAATTTTAGTGACTATATAAACTACTCTATTACTTCGAAGCAACTGCATTATGGTAGACAACTGTCATTACAGAGAACTGAATCCAAGTTGTAGAGTCTTTTCGTATTTTGTAACCAAATCCTGAAACTTCTAATTTCCAAGAGTTAGGAAAATTGTGATCTATTTTACTACTGTCATAATTTGGGGGTAACTGGACGGATGCCTTTTCATGACAAACAAGAATCAAACATGTTTATGCGTGGTGTGTTTGTTTTTTTCTCAATAAAGCTACCCAAAATTTTTGCTAAATAACTTTATTCACATGAATTTATTATTTTTTAGTCTTCCTTATCTTACGATTTTTGGCGGAGCTGTGGCGTTCACCAAGAAACAGTTTGAAAAGGTTGGTGGATTTTCAAATATGTATTTTGGATGGGGTGGAGAAGATGACGATTTATACGCTAGAGTAGTCTATCATAATTACAGCGTTATGCGTTACCCTGAAGAAATCGCTCGTTACAGAATGATTAGTCATAATAAAGACCCAAGTAATCCGGTCAATCCTAAACGGTATGTCTTTCCCAATCCTCATACTTAAGAATTCGTTTTTGTAATATACACTTGCTCATTGTTGTTTTTTATCTAAGATATTTAAAATAATCTATTAAGTATCGCACAGTATTGATAGTAATATTAGTCCCAAATGAGTATTCAGAAGTAATTGAATTTATCATCGAATACCTACCATATTCATGTATAAACTAGTCTATTTTATTTCTTCGTGTGCTCATCTCCATACATAAATGTCAGTGTTTGTAGATCGACCAACTAAGTGTTTCAGACTATTGATAGATTATAGCTGACAACGACGACTATATTTAGTAACTGCTCCCCAGCTATGTGACCTGCTAAGTGGCCTCACAAGTCATTTCGAAAAGACCATTTATCTTCCCAATATCAGGTCCATTTTCAGTTGCATTAATACCTGAATCACTATTATTACAGAACTCTCTGTATATTGGCAATATCCTGCTTGAAAGTTTGATATCATCTGATTATTCGTCACAGAAAATTATAAACTACACATAATATACTTCGTATTTTAAATGCTAACGTTTGGTGCTAACTAAATAGTGCGTTGGTTAGTGTTTCTGCGATGGAAGTTCGATAAAAGTAGTTAAATACGGCCAACCTGAATGACAAATGTTTTTCGACACACTAACCTCTGTATAATTAGTGACTACAACCCATCGCTTTTGTGTTTTCCGCAGTGAATTTTGTGGATTCTCATTGATTATTCACCGATTCCTTTGATTGTAGCTAGTGATCGTTTATTCTGGTTTATTACGTAGGGCATTTTAAATAGAATGAAATTGGTAACTTGTAAAGAGTCTTATTTTGGTAACCGGTTCCTGCTATTCATTATATCATTGTGGAGTAACGGTAAACTTTACTGTTTTAAAATGTACTGAAAAATTGAAACAAATCTAATATTCATAAGCGGGACTATTCACTGTGTAATATTGTAGGGGTTCAACATAGAATATCCGTTGTGAATTTCAAAATTACATTTTTACCTCTTTCATTTTATTCGTGTGAAAATATCCTTTTTTGATGGAATACTCAAATTTCAAGGGTCTTATTCGATTATTTGAATCCTTATGCTAATGTAGAAAAATAATTTCGTGAAATGTCTAACATTTTTGTGCAAATAAGTAGTTTTCATTTATGTGTTTCACACTCGGTGATTTTCTTTGGTTTTACGGTTTTTGTTATTATTGTCGACTTACTGATAAACTGGGTAGATATAATCACATATGCTTTCAAATTTGTAAACGTGCTTGTAATCTCAGGCATCACTGGACTCATCAACTAGTGGAATGAAATGGATGGCTTTTGTGCACGTTATATTTGATCGAATTAAAGAACAATTATGTCAACAGGACTTTTTTGAAACTCAGTCGCTGCATATAATAGGATCACCACACAAGGCTCCAGTGGACGGATTCTGAAAAAACAGTATGTTTTCTGGCAAAATGAAATGTTATCAAATATAAAAATTCGTCATGAAAACTGTACTTCCATTCTCCATTTAGAGATCACCTTTCATGTTTATACTGTGGCTAAGGAGGTAGCCTAGTGAGTAATGATACGCAGGTGTTTTAGTTACTAACTACAATTCCCAACGACATATTTTAAATTAACGAAAAACATTGTGAACAGAAAAGTGAACTTTGTATCTCTTCACGTTATCTCACTTATGCTACTGCTATGTCTTTAAAGGTTATAACTATTAACTTATTACCTAATTTTTTTGATACCCATACCTTAAATACTGTCAAAAAGGTTTCATGTAACCAGATAATAAGTTCGCTGTACTGTACCTGTATATGCTGAATAGATGCTTAACTCCGTCACCTATAAAATACTGCACCTTTGCCTGAGTCTAGATATGTCTATTTCTTCATATCAGCCAATTGGATTACGAGATAACTTACTAAATAGGTAGTAAGTTTACAAAATGAAAGCAGGTTTTTGTAAAGTAAATCTTTCCCTCTTAGGCATCTAATGTTCATTGTCTGATTTATTACTTCTGTAACTGTGGAGTGCCTTGTCTTATTATTTAGGATTTTAATATCATTACATTACATCAATATTTATTTTATGAAGGTCTATTAGAATGTAATTGTGAACAATTTCAACTAATCGTGTAAAATCTAAGTTAGTATATCAGCATTGGTAATTCACAAACAAGCCATACTTACAATTTTTACCAGGCAATAATCTGAGAAATCTGTTTTCGATCCATGAACGGTGGTTATTGTAATCATAACGATACGTTTCACATACTGTTTCATAAACGTTTATAAAATCGAATCAAATGACTGGCGTTATGAATTTTGTCTACTTAGCTATTGGCCCTGCAAAGTAGATTTGTTGTATAAAGCTTAAACTTTGACAAATACGTATCCATTCTAATAATTACGTACCATCTTCGCACCACAACTACTGCATGTTAGTCACATTATCCACCTACTGAGACTTTAATAAATAATACATTCTTTAAAAACATGTACTTAAACCACCGATTTTTGACTTATTCCGAGTACTTTTCTAGGAGTATCATCATCTTTGTAATTGCAGTCATAGGGCATTTTCCCTATTGTTTTTTTATGTGTACTTTTTTACACAGTAACGAACTTCTGAAGGATGCATCAAGTCGCTTTAAAACAGATGGTTACTGGAATGCGAATTATACGCTACTGGAGTCTTACCCTGCTCACAATGGCCTGTTTTATTGGGTGTCGATCACTCCATAAATGGGTGAGAAGATTCAGCACATTCCGATTATTTGTGTTGTAAGTTAAACTCTTTTAGATCTTATCTATAATCTAATACTAAACTCATATAGTCAACATGATTTTAACTCACAAAATTGCTTAACACATTTGTTAAGGTATCCAAAATCTTAAACCCTGTATTTTCATTTTGAATTATTTTTGGTATGCAGTAAAAGTGTATAATTGTGTAAGGGTTTAAGTTTTCTCGTTGTTGATACTAAGTTCAGAACTTGATTAATTTCTTTTTCATATATGTGTATGCGGATCACTAAGTTATTTTTGTCTTTAAATAAAGCAAGAACAAATATTGGTGCAGAATAGTATGAATTCATATTATTTCGAGGTTTCTCGTCAGCTGCTAACAAACCAAATAGTGAAAGCAATTGACATAGATGAGTGTAAATAACTGGGTTACAATAATAATTATATATATATATGGGTCAAATAGGGTGAGAGAGAAATAATAGTGCAATTACAATTCGGTCAAATAAGTAAGACGTAATACGGAGGAATGAATGCGAAGTGAATGAATCATGTAAAGGGGAGATTAACGATATTTAACCAATAGTACGAATAATAGTAATAATACAAAGATTTATGAATAAAGATAACAGGGACAATTACAATTGACTAAGAAAGGTCATAGTCAAATTGGGTCATTCAATAGTTAAGATTACGATTGATTAATTGGCCTTGATGTTGGCCAGGGGAGGAGGAGTGGCTGAATATATTTCTTCTGTACGCATAGCTCCGGTTTCTTCATTCGGATGGCTACTGCTTCAGCCGTTTGAAGGACTTTCAGTCTGACCAGTTTTGGCAAAAAATTACTGACCTTATAAATAATAGAAAAAGATTGGTTTATACTGGCACTATGACCGGTTTGTACTAAATGGGCCAATATTGAGCTGTTCACCTTCTTCATCAAACCTTTGTTTAACCACGGCGGAAGGTGTTCACGAGCACGAAAATGTAAATTCCTAGAACTTCGACCAATATAACTCGCTCCACAGGAGCAGTTGAACTGATAAATACAAAATGAGGTGGTCATTCTAGGTAATTCATCTTTTAGCTTCGGTGTAACCATTGGGCGCGTAGAAAATACTAATCGCAGTTCTCCGGCGTTAAAAGACTTTAGTATTGTCCTACGTAGTCTCTGAGTTAGTATTTCGCTAGCCGCATCCCCTCTGAATTGTAGGCGCATGAACAAGGATTTCTTCTTCACTGTTTGTATTTCGCCTACTTTCGCCTTCGTGACCATATATTTAATTATAAACTTTCTAGGGTAGCCGTTCTCCCTGAGAGTATTATGCAAGGTGGTAAGCTCTTGTTCGACTATATCAGCAGAACATATAGTGCGAATACGGTAGCTAAGGTTTTTGATCAAATTTCGTTTGTACTGTAGAGGTACAAAGCTCAGGAAATTCGTATACTGCCCAGTCCAAGTACTCTTTCTGTTTATATTCCTTTTTAACGATCCATCCACTCTCTTAGTCAAGAAAACGTCCAAAAAGGCTATTCGGCCATCATTCTCTTCTTCAGATGTAAACTGAATGGCTGGATGCACTTCATTAAATCGTCTAAGAACCTCTTGGGGCGATGTATTATCTTTACAGAGGATGAACGTGTCATCCACGTATCTACAGTAAAATGTGAAGTTGTCAATAATCTTTTTTAGTGGACCATTTTCTAGTTTGACTAGAAAAATATCAGCTAGTATAGGGCCCAGTGGTGAACCCATTGCAACACCATCAGTTTGTCTATATATTTCCCCGTTGAACTTGAAATTTACATTCATGGTGCATTTGAGTAAAAACTCTTTCACGACGCTAATAGGGACAGTAGTTTCAATTTCATTTTCTATCAGCTGTTCACTTATATATTCTACAGTCTCTATGAGTGGGACGTTTGTGAATAACGATGTTACATCCAATGACATCATCTTCAGTCCCAACGTATTTGCCCCAAGAGGTTCTTAGACGATTTAATGAAGTGCATCCGACCATTCAGTTTACATCTGAAGAAGAGAGTGATGGCCAAATATCCTTTTTGGACGTTTTCTTGACTAAGAGAGTGGATGGATCGTTAAAAAGGAATATAAACAGAAAGAGTACTTGGACTGGGCAGTATACGAATTTCCTGAGCTTTGTACCTCTACAGTACAAACGAAATTTGATCAAAAACCTTAGCTACCGTATTCGCACTATATGTTCTGCTGATATAGTCGAACAAGAGCTTACCACCTTGCATAATACTCTCAGGGAGAACGGCTACCCTAGAAAGTTTATAATTAAATATATGGTCACGAAGGCGAAAGTAGGCGAAATACAAACAGTGAAGAAGAAATCCTTGTTCATGCGCCTACAATTCAGAGGGGATGCGGCTAGCGAAATACTAACTCAGAGACTACGTAGGACAATACTAAAGTCTTTTAACGCCGGAGAACTGCGATTAGTATTTTCTACGCGCCCAATGGTTACACCGAAGCTAAAAGATGAATTACCTAGAATGACCACCTCATTTTGTATTTATCAGTTCAACTGCTCCTGTGGAGCGAGTTATATTGGTCGAAGTTCTAGGAATTTACATTTTCGTGCTCGTGAACACCTTCCGCCGTGGTTAAACAAAGGTTTGATGAAGAAGGTGAACAGCTCAATATTGGCCCATTTAGTACAAACCGGTCATAGTGCCAGTATAAACCAATCTTTTTCTATTATTTATAAGGTCAGTAATTTTTTGCCAAAACTGGTCAGACTGAAAGTCCTTCAAACGGCTGAAGCAGTAGCCATCCGAATGAAGAAACCGGAGCTATGCGTACAGAAGAAATATATTCAGCCACTCCTCCTCCCCTGGCCAACATCAAGGCCAATTAATCAATCGTAATCTTAACTATTGAATGACCCAATTTGACTATGACCTTTCTTAGTCAATTGTAATTGTCCCTGTTATCTTTATTCATAAATCTTTGTATTATTACTATTATTCGTACTATTGGTTAAATATCGTTAATCTCCCCTTTACATGATTCATTCACTTCGCATTCATTCCTCCGTATTACGTCTTACTTATTTGATCGAATTGTAATTGCACTATTATTTCTCTCTCGCCCTATTTGACCCATATTTATTCTGATCATGGATCTTAAAATTTCATTTAACATATACGCATATATATATATGCTAGAAACAGGTCAGAGGTCAAAAAAGGGTTAATTCAGTTTAGGTGGTATAAAAGTTTAGTGAAGTTCATAAATTGTGTGATGATTAGAGAGATTAATGGAATTGAATAATCATAAGGTAGATTACGTAATAATAATTAAATAAAATTTGAAAAGTTAAGATAATGTAAAAGGATCAGGTGGTGGAAATGTGTGAATAATAATGTGGTTTAAGAATTATGTAATAGGGGAGGAGTATAAATATTTTAAAATAAATGAATAAAATAACCCAAATAACCAAAACACACACAAAAAAGGGGTTTACCAGGGTAGTGATAATTTTATTCAAGTCTCTTTTTGAATGCACAAATCCGGTTTAAGTTTTTTTTATCGCAATCGCTTCAGCGAAACGAAGAGTAGTCGTGCTTCATTGTCTATTAATAATTTTAAAAGCATGCAAAATGTCGACAGTATGCCCGGTGTCAAGTAAATACCGAGCTATTGCACTGTTTAAAGCTTTGATCCCTCGCAGCCTCAAGTTCTTCGGAACATGTTCAGAAATGCGAACACGCACTCTTCTCTCAGTTTTTCCAATGTATGTGCTTTGGCACGTACATGTGAATTGATAAATGCAGTTGGAGCTACTAATAAAAGAAGACTTGTCGATTTTAGTTTGTTTAAGTGAGCAGTTCGTTTGCCATACTGTCGTAAGTTTTGCTGCTGCGTGGGTAGGCCACTTCCAATGCAGAATTTAATCTGTGATTAATTAATCCGGCAATTTCATCTCCTTTGAAACGTAAATGTAAGAAGCAAGTTCTCTTTTCTACTCCATCATACTTTGTCTGAGGATTGGTTTTTGCATATTTCTGGATGAATTTCAACGGGTATGCATTTTCAGGTAGAACATTAGTGATGAGAGTAATTTCTTCATCAAGGCATTCCTTTGAATAAATTTTGCGAGCGCGGTCAAAAAGGGTTCGTAAAATACCCTTTTTGTAACTCATTGGGCAAAAACTATGTTAATTGAGATATAGACCACTCAAAGTGTTTTTGTGATGAATATTTTTCAAAGGAGATGAAATTGCCTATATATATATATTTATCATTGTAATCCCGTTATTTACACTCATTTATGTCAATTGTTTCACACTATCTCAATGTAAAAAATTCTATCACATTTTTGGTTTGTAAACAGCCGACGAGAAACCTCGAAATATTTTGAATTCATACTATTCTGCATCAATGTTTGTTCTTACTGTATTTAAATTCATAAAGAGAACCAATTGTATGAAATTATTTCTGTCTGTTTGTGAATAATCGATTATTTTAAAGCCGTGACCTTTCATAAGTATGGTTAGTATTTCCGAAATCTGAGTTTCCAACTTTAAAGTTTTATGTTGTCCTCAGTCAACTGTTTCTTGATTGAAAAGGCACTTTTCGTATGTATGTAGAAAGGGTTGTTTGTCTTTGATGTTTTTGACTGAGGATTTTGTAATTCGAACTATAGATGTTGGATATAGTGTGCTTTGGTTTGGTTCTGAACTTCTCACTTTGCCACTGTAACTTTACCAACAAATTCATAGTCTTACTATTATAGTGTGTTAATTATTTTTTAGGACTTTACATATTCTATAGAAATAATTGAACAGTCCATTCGAAGTTCTTTTTCATCTGATATCAAAGCATTGAATAAACACTTTCTTCAGGTTAAATAAATGATTTTGTTTTTGTTTCTTACACTAGTCCTACATTTAATTAGAGTTTCATACTTTTTCTTAATATTTTCCGTCATTTAGGTCACAGAATACTCCGTATACGAAGATCACATCGTTCACCGAATTCCCCATGATTTTTTTACTCAATGACTTTTCCTACTTCTACTTTCGTTTTGTCCAGTTTCCATAATCTTTTCCAACTATTATTTTAGATTTTGTATATTTTACACAAAATGCTGTTCCATTTTTCTCAACGCCTAATTTCTGGATTCATAATTTTTTTTAAAACAAATTAGACAATCTGTAAATGCTGTTTAGTTAAAAAAAAATTATGTTGTAATTGTTTACGTTTATATTTTACCGTTAGTTCCATTGATAAAAAGGTAGTTACTGTTCAATTTTAAAGATCTTCATTGTATGCCATAGCAACAGGAGCATTGCGAAAAGATCTGTTTCCATGATCATCAGATAAGACTAAATGCTCCATGGATTTGTTTCTGTTACTTGTGTAGTTGTAGGATTTTTCTTTGATAGATTAACATTATCAACATAAGCAGCCAAAACTTGTAATTGGCAATTCGATCGGAAACATTGAAAAATCGATTGGTCAAATGTAAGTCGATCGATTGTAATATTGCCGAGCATTAACTTGTTAATTTATTGCAAACAATTAGTATTCAGTATTTCCTATGTTTAAAAATATCAACGTTGGATTGTGGAAGAAATTTGAACAAGATCGATGGTGTTTAATATTAGTTCGACGTTTAAAATACGTTATCTTGCAGTTGGGATGTGAATTTACCCAAAACCTTTGCTTTTTCTACACAGGTCCAAATTAAAGACTCTTATAAATATTCACTCAGCTCCATAATTTATTATTCTTGACCAAATTAACTCAAATTCAACTCTATCTAATATGCTTAACATAAAATATAACAATGTTTATCAGGCTTTCTTCTGTACGAATAGCGTATTTTTATCACAGGTAAATGGGTTAACTGATTTTAGCAATTACTAGCACAACCACCAAATTTTCTATGGTGGTCTAGCTTTAATCGACTCATGAATTCACTTAATAAATACATTACTTCATCAAATGAATTGTATTAAATTCTGTTTTCTTTTTAGAATGAGTATTTGCTCTAAATTGTAAATGTCGTTTGTGTCTATTTTCTAGTAACATTTAAAGAACATTAATTTTAGTGTTTTCACTTTTTTATTTTTTCTAAAACATCTTAGTTTAAACTTTTGATGTGCTTACATTTTTAAACTGATTAATGTTTGACTGAGTTATCAGAAATAAAACAGTAAAAAAACTATATGTAATATCAAAAATAGATAGTAGTTGATTGTTAGTCAAGCTGAAAAAAACTATAGAAAAGTAATATATTTTTGTCAAACTTGTATGAATAACAAAGTTTTGAAAAATCAGCTACGAAACCAAGTTTGAATATAAGTTCACATATTTTGCTGTATTTGTGACATTAGATGAAAAGATAAATCAAACTGCTCAAACAGTGCCATTTTCGAGATTATTTTCACGTTTTGTTGTTATGTGGTGTGTGCTTTTTATGTATGTCGATATAAGCAGTATGTAACACGAACCAGAAGTAGAATGTTTAGCAGCAGAAAGTTAAGAAGATCGAATTGAAGAGAATAGGAATGTAAGCAGGGAGGAACTGTAATGACAGGAATGAAGGAATGATGACGTTTGTAAGAGACAATTGATGGAATATGTGACAATAAATTATTTGATGTATGGTTTTCGTATTTTATGAAAGCACTGTGTAATTTTGCATTAATCCATATATACTCGACTACCTCATCTGATTGTCCGTTCACTACGATTATGATATATATGTGAATTATATTCAAGTACACTAGTGAAGTTATTTCTGAGTTACCAGTCAGGCCATTTTGATATGATAGAGATTTATAGACCTTAAGAATGATTCTGGAGGTGTTATTTTCTTTCAGCAGAATAATTAGTCGTGAAACTTTCAAAGAGAAGTAAGCAACTAGGATTCCTTAACAAATAATATTTTTCAGTAAGAAAATCTTACGCATATAAAAAGATTTCAACGATGGAATAAATCTCATGTTGTTGAATAGACATAAATGGATTCACGCTATTCTGTTACGCTCGTTGTTATTGCTCTAGTAATGTTAACCAATGAATATTCAGAAAAATAAACTATTTACGTGAGTTCCTTACAAACAAAAATTAAAGACAAATTAGCTAAATCCAAAATATAGATAGATGAAATCACTTAGTAGATATCCTTCAGAAATTACACCATGTGAATCTACAAAAACCAATTTATACATGCAAATAGTAGTCCACGTACTAAATCTAAATAAGAAGTTCAAACGTAAGAAGAAAGTGTTGGAATATTTACTCTAAAAATCAAAAGCCTAATTTCGGACTGAAATTCTAAAAAGAACGTTCACTTCACAATAAATAACCTGAAAGAATAGTAAGAGAATACATGCACTGTTTATAATCTTGGTCAAATTGTTGAGTTCTGTATTAATAGACAAGGCTCCAAATAACACACTGGAAGATTGTTCCATACACACTTTTGTCAAGCATCAATAAAATATACGTTTTTATATCCTTCAGCTGGTAACGAAAATTTTCAATCTACACATATCGATAAGTAGTTGGAATTTTGACTAGAATGTGGAAGATGGAACTCGAAATATCCACTTAGATGTCTGGAATCCCGTTTATCATCAGTAACTTGATTGCCATTCATATAAAACTAATTCACAAGTAATAGTGCTCAACTGACAGGAAAGTCCAAGTAACATTTGTTTGTTGTGCACTAGTGAACATTGGCGTAGCTAACAATCTGGTCTTGCATTTCACGATGTCCAATATATTATTGAAAATGGCTGTATTTTTCTAAAGGCCTACACAATGTAGATTCACAAATCAAAAATAATGTGCAGTCGGATGAGCATTTTGATTTGCAATCAAACATACTCAATCACCTAATTTCAAACGAGAAACCAAACAGAAAGAAAAGTGTAACAACTAGTCACTTTCACCTGAATAATCATTATCAGTATTCCGTTACTGTGTAAAATCTAAGTAGTTGCAATCTGATCGGTTTTAGGATATAATATCTCTAGAAATGTACGTTTTCTTAGTACAAATTAATCTTTTTGATTTGTTTTGTCTCTTTAATCAATTCTCTCGAACAGCGTTGCATGAGTGTTTCAAGTGATGTTTTACTTTAACATTGCGATATTTCTAGTTAAATAATTCATCGACTAACTCTCCTCTAGTTTCGAAATTGATTTGTAATTTTAGTGGTTATGTTTTTAAGAAAGTCAATAGTCAACGTTTTATTAGTAAACCTGACCTTAACATGAAGCGTCCAAAAGAAATTTTGTTTACACCTTGTGTTATAACAAAGTTTAGTGTTATTTAGGAAAATCTATTGATTTTAACTAATTATATGAATAACAGGTCACAAAGAGTTGAATGAATATTAATGAGTAGGTTAGAAGTGTTTTTGAAATAATTAGAATATACGAAATCGCGTTATATATACTTGCAAAGTTGTATAGATAGTCGGTTCTCAATAAAGCCTCATCAGATTGGGCACTCATTTATTTTTGAATTTAATATTTGTTGATATTGAATTCAATACTTTGATAGTGCAATGAGAAGATGATTGTTATCTGAATTATGTAGTATATTTGCGTAATACATTTCGAGCAATCTGATCACACGTATACGTGTTAAGAACATTTATATATAAAAAAAATAAAAGGTCAACTAGACAGGTTAAAGGTAAGTCGTTGACATGTTATTTTTCATATAAGAATATCTTATTAAGCATATATATGTGATCAGATTGTTCGAAATGTATTACGCAAATATATTACATAATTCTGATAACTTATCTTCTCATTGCATTATCAAAATTTATCAAAGGGGCTAATTGTATTGAATTCAATATGTTTTTATGCGCCCATCGGTAAATTATTTATATTTTAGCTCCCATTATTTGTATTATAATAATATCTTGTATGTAGTAGGAGCATATTTCACTCCTGATTATTTTATTGTGATTGGATCTGTAGATTAATTTGAACCAAGACATTTTTGTTATGTATTATGCTCCTTATTCTATGTTTTTCATAATATACAGTGGTACGTTGGTTTTCGAAAGAGTTTCAACTACCGTCTTGTCTCTTTGTAACTAGAACGATATGCTTTCATTCTATGATTTTTGTGTATATATATACAGCTAGAGGGAGAGAGAACTTCATATCCTTCAATGCTTCTGATACATTTTATGGTGAGTGCTAACATCCCGAAAACACTTGTCCAAAGCCAAATGCTAATTGTTTTCGGCACTATTTCGTTGAGTAATAACACCAAAAACCAACTCAATCGAAAACAACTCAATTTTCATGGTTGCAAAAATATCATACTAGAAGGCGCTAAGGCTAACGGTTAATCACTACAAACTGTCTCTGAAATTGAAAACAACTTCAGTATTACTAGTGATTCCCACCTATCGACTATTACAATATGGAAATTAATTTCGCGAGCGATAACATTTAGAATAATTCTGTACTTTTTTCGATGTCAGGTTTAAAATGGTATCATCGATGTGTCTATCTTTCATAAACGTCTGGATTTCGTTAACATAACTTTTCACTCAACAAGGGAACTGCTTTCCCAAATAATCATTTCCGAAACCTCTTTTACTCCATTTCCCCTAATTTATCAATTTCTCTAACCCATTTGAAATTGTCTAACTAATACAGTGATTTAATTTCAATATTTCCTGTACAATTCATCTTATTTCTCACATCCGTTTCATATTGATTGAATTTTTTTATTGTTAAATAACACACATGTGCTCAAATATTGTGACAGAAATTTATTCTGAAATTCGGTTTGAATGGAAATAGGTCACTCACTGAATTTGAAAATCAAGAACTGTGAGTGATGAATTGTCATCCGACAACATTTTAGAATTGTTATTGTATTCTAAACGACATTTAAATTTTGTTTTGTTTCTTTTCATAGAAAAATAACGATAAATCGACAATTTTATGATTGACTTGAGTATATAAATCATGAAATTCAGAACTGAACTGAAGCGTC